ACCACCAGGGAGGGCCAGCTATACCTTTTTATTATTTTCTTACTGGTTACTTTAGGATTTATATACATCTTGAATTTATCACAGATTACAGTAATCCTTTTTATCTGCAGCTTTGCTTTCAGCATTTTCAGTTACCTTTTTTTAAACCATAGTCTGAAAATATTACATACCATGAGATTTTGAGAAAGAAATACCATGTTCACATGACTTTTATTGCAATTCAGTGTTGTAATTATTCTACTTTATTGATTACTGTTAATCGCTTAATGTGCCTAATATATAAGTTAAATTTTATCACAGAATAGGTGTAAAACAAAACATAAAATGGATGAGTTCATATTATCCAGAGTTCCAGGCATCTGTGGGCCTGGGGATGTATCTCTTGCAGATAAGGGGGTACTACCATATTTTCAAGTAAATTATGTCACCTCATGTATACTAAAAGAATCTTTTAGTAGTATGTTTCCTCCCCTTTTGTTCATTTTGCTACTTTTATCATATCTTTTACTTAAAAGTAGTTATTTTTTTAATGCAGAGATCAGCAGACTATGACCACCTGCCTGCTTTTGTTGAAGCATGGTCATGTTCATTTATTTGTGTCATCTGTGGCAACTTTTATGCTACAGTAGCATAGTTCAGTAATTATATTAAGCTATGTGGCCTTCAAGCCTAAGGTAGTTATTTTGGGGCTGTTTTAAATAGTTATCAACCCCAAGTCATGAAAAATTAGAGAACTTGAAAAAATAGTTGCCTACATATATACCATTTCTGGTGCTCTTTATTCTTTCATGTATACCCCACATCCATCAGGTAGTACCTAAAGAATTTCCTCATACTTAACTTGCAATATAGATTTACAGGCATTTAATTCTTTTATATTTTCTTTAAAAAAATCTTTAACCTGCCTTCATTTCTAAAAGATACTTTTGCCATATTGTAGAATTGTATAATCTTGTTGTTTTTTTTCCCCCTTGTTTGTATTCTACTTGTTGTTTATTTAGCTTCTTGAATGCATGGGATTTTCATAGATCTTTCCAAGTTTGAATATTTGACCATTATTTCCTTTAATATTGTCTGAGCCCTCCTGTTTTGTTTCCTTGGCACATTATAGAACCTGGTACAGTCCCCTAGGTCAGTGATGCTCTGTTCACTATTCTGTTTTCTTCTTTTATATCCTGAATTAGTCTTGAATAAATTCTCTCTGTACTATCTAATCTTTTAATCTCACCCAATGACATTCTCACTTTATGTATTACATTCTTCATCTATAGAAGTTCCAGTTAAGGTTTTTGTTTTTTTATTTATCTTTCATTATGCCCATGTTTTCCTTCAAATCCTTAAACATATTTTATAGCTATTTTAATGTTGTGTGCTGATTCTACCATTTGTGTTATTTCTGTTCCTCTGTCTTTTTTTTTTTTGTAATTTTTTTCTAA